TTCGTTCTTTTGGTGTCATTACAATCGGGAAAAGATTCTCTACCATTTCATAAGAAAAAATAACTTTTTTCTTTTTGGAAATTTTGCGACACCAGGAGACACCTCAGGATTTGGGGTTGCGACAGTCAAGGGGTTAATTGAGTTATTTGTAGAAAGAGGTTTGGTAATAAGTAATACATATTTTATGAAAAAGAGGATAAATAAGCATACAAGGTATGATATAACACATATGAAAGTAATTAGATTATATATTGGTAAATAAAAGGTTGATGAGTAGGCTTCAGGATGTGTATGTTTATAGAGGGGCAGCTGATATATCAGATCATTATTTAGTTGTAGCTACAGTTAGAATAAGAGGTAGATACAACAAAAGGAAAATGGCTACAACAAGTAAGAGAGAGGTGAAAGTGTATAAACTAAGGGAGGAGGAAGTTAGGGTGAGATACAAGCAACTATTGGCAAAAAGGTGTGCTAGTGCAAGTATGAGTAGTGGGGGTTGAAGAGGGTTGGAATAGTTTTAAAAATGCAGTATTAGAATGTGGGGCAAAAGTTTGTGGCTATAGGAGGGTGGGTGCAGGAGGAAAGAGGAGTGATTGGTGGAATGATGAGGTAAAGGGTGTGATAAAAGAGAAAAATGTAGCTTATGAGAGGTTCTTACAAAGTAGAAGTGTTATAAGAAGAGCAGAGTATATGGAGAGTAAAAGAAAGGTGAAGAAAGTGGTGAGAGAGTGCACAAGGAGAGTAGCTGACAGAGTGGGAGAGGCACTGTTAAGAAATTTTGATGAAAATAAGAAAAAAATTTGGAGTGAGATAAACAAGTTAAGAAAGCCTAGGGAATGAATGGATTTGTCAGTTCAAAACAGAGTAGGGGAGTTAGTAGATGGAAAGCTGGAGGTATTGGGTAGATGGCGGGAATATTTTGAGGAACTTTTAAATGTCGATGAAGAAAGGGAGGCAGTAATTTCATTCACTGGCCAGGGAGGTATAAGATCTTTTAGGAGTGAAGAAGAGCAGGATGTGAGTGCGGGGGAGGTGTGTGAGGCATTACGTAGAATGAAAGGGGGTAAAGCAGCTGGAATTAATGGGATTCTGACAGAAATGTTAAAAGCAGGCAAGGATATAGTGTTAGAGTGGTTGGTATTTTTGTTTAATAAATGTGTGAAAGAGGGGAAGGTACCTAGGGATTGGCAGAGAGCATGTATAGTTCCTTTATATAAAGGGAAGGGGCACAAAAGAGATTGTAAAAATTATAGGGGAATAAGTTTACTGAGTATACCAGGAAAAGTGTACGGTAGGGTTATTATTGAAAGAATTAGAGGTAAGACAGAGAGTAGGATTGTGGATGAGCAAGGAGGCTTTAGAGAAAGTAGGGGATGTGTAGATCAAATGTTTACATTGAAGCATATATGTGAACAGTATTTAGATGAAGGCAGGGAAGTTTTCATTGCATTTATGGATTTACAAAAGGCATATGATAGAGTGGATAGGGGAGCAATGTGGCAGATGTTGCAAGTATATGGAATAGGTAGTAAGTTACTAAATGCTGTAAAGAGTTTTTATGAGGATAGTGAGGCTCAGGTTAGGGTGTGTAGAAGAGAGGGAGATAACTTCCTGGTAAAAGTAGGTTTTAGACAGGGATGTGTAATGTCACCATGGTTGTTTAATATATTTATTGATGGTGTTGTAAAAGAGGTAAATGCTAGGGTGTTCGGGAGAGGGGTGGGATTAAATTATGGGGAATCAGAATCAAAATGGGAGTTGACACAGTTACTTTTTGCTGATGATACTGTGCTTATAGGAGATTCTAAAGAAAAATTGCAAAGGTTAGTGGATGAGTTTGGGAGGATGTGTAAAGGTAGAAAGTTGAAAGTGAACATAGATAAGAGTAAGGTGATGAGGGTATCAGATGATTTAGATAAAGAAAAATTGGATATCACATTGGAGAAAGGGAGTATGGAAGAAGTGAATGTTTTTAGATATTTGGGAGTTGATGTGTAAGTTGATGGGTTTATGAAGGATGAGGTTAACCATAGAATTGGTGAAGGAAAAAAGGTGAGTGGTGCATTGAGGTATAGTGAAGACAAAAACGTTATCTATGGAGGCAAAGAAGGGAATGTATGAAAATATAGTGTTACCAACTCTCCTATATGGGTGTGAAGTTTGGGTTGTAAATGCTGCAGCGAGGAGGCGGTTGGAGGCAGTGGAGATGTCCTGTCTAAGGGCAATGTGTGGTGTAAATATTATGCAGAAAATTCGGAGTGTGGAAATTAGGAGAAGGTGTGAAGCTAATAAAAGTATTAGTCATAGGGCTGAGGAGGGGTTGTTGAAGTGGTTTGGTCATTTAGAGAGAATGGATGAAAGTAGAATGACATGGACAGCATATAAATCTGTAGGGGAAGGAAGGCGGGGTAGGGGTCATCCTCGAAAAGGTTGGAAGGAGGGGGTAATGGAGGTTTTGTGGGCGAGGGGCTTGGACTTTCCACAAGCGTGGGTGAGCTTGTTAGATAGGAGTGAATGGAAACGAATGGTTTTTGGGACCTGACGAGCTGTTGGAGTGTGAACAGGGTAATATTTAGTGAAAGGATTCAAGGACTTGAGTACTGGAAATGGGAAGTACAATGCCTGCCCTTTAAAGGAGGGGTTTTGAATATTGGCAGTTTGGAGGGATATGTTATATATCTTTATATATGCTTCTAAACTGTTGTATCTGGGCACCTCTGCAAAAACAGTGATGATGTATGAGTGAGGTGAAAGTGTTGAATGATGATGAAAGTATTTTCTTTTTGGGGATTTTCTTTCTCTTTGGGTCACCCTGCTTCGGTGGGAGATGGCTGATTTGTTGAAAAAAAAATAAAAGTATTAAGTAGGTTGGTAGACAGTGACTATCTTCAAAGGTACTACATCTTCTGCATGTGTGAAACAAGCATTGCTAATCGAACCATACCACAGATGGGGCTAGAACCCGCAATCAGAGAATCATAAAACTCCAGACTGACGAGTTAGCCAATGGGCCAGCTAGCTACGATAAGATTCATTCAACTAGGAATATTTATACACCATAGGAAGGTTAGCATAGGCACCACTGTGACCACAAATGCAAGTTTTTACAGACAAATCTCCCACTAGCATGGCCGTGATGAACTCTATCTCAAATCCCCTCAAAGCCATCAACATGACTCACAAAATCGTAATGACACGATTGCAAACAAACCATACCAAACTTGTAGGTGGTGCAACATCCCCCAATGAAAAGCAGGGGTGCCACAAGTATGCTAAGATAGACAACACAATAAGTGTCAGGGGGCCCAAGACTGTTCGACTTACTTCCAGCACACAAAGGGGAATTATATAGACCCATGGCTGTCTTCAAGAGTGAGAGCTGGACAGGCACCTAAAGTGTGTACCTGACCAGCCGGGTTGTGGTTGTTACATCGGTTTGCATGTGGCCAGCAGTAACAGCATGGTTGATCAGGGCCTGATGCACCACAAAGCTTGGTCATGGACCGGGCCACAGAGGCGTTGACCCTCGGAACACCCTCCAGTTATACCCCAACTTACCTTGTCTCTTCTTCGAACTCTAGCTCAAGTGCCCTCAAGCCAGCAACATGACTCATGAAATCATAATGACACAATTACAAACAAACCATACCAAACTTGCATTTGTGGTCACAGTGGTGCCTATGCTAACCTTCCTATGGTGTATAAATATACCTAGTTGGATGAATCTCATTGTAGCTAGCTGGCCCAGTGGCAAACACGGCGGTCTGGAGTTTTATGACTCTCTGATCGTGGGTTCTCACCCTGCCTGTGGTATGGTTTGTTTGCAATCGTTTCATTATGATTTCATGAGTCATTGCTAATCTTTTCTTTCTGTCTCATATGTAAGATGAGAAGTAAAATTACAAACTTTTACTTGCTCTCAGTATGAACTCACATTTACTTTTCTGTGAGTGTCTTAATAGTTTTTAGTTGTTTCTTTTACTGGCACCTGGAGACTAAGCTGTCTCTAGATGCCAAAATTTTGGAAGCATACATATTCTTTTATCTCAATAATTTTGCAGTGGTATAAAAATGAAAGACGCATAATGAAGGAAAGTGCCATTATGTGTCTTTCTAGAGGCTGAAGAAAACACATGTACAACACTTGGGTATCTTTACTGTCTTGGGGACATTTTGCCAACCAGTTGCTTTATCAATCCAATATAGAGAATAAATAGTGGAAGAAGAGACAAGGTAAGTTGGGGTATACCTGGAGGGTGTTCCGAGGGTCAATGCCTCCATGGCCCGGTCCGTGACCAGGCTTTGTGGTGCATCAGGGCCTGATCAACCAGGCTGTTACTGCTGGCTGCATGCAAACTGACATAACCACAACCCAGCTGGTCAGGTACACACTTTAGGTGTCTGTCCAGTTCTCTCTCTTGAAGACAGCCATGGGTTTATATAATTCCCCTTATGTGTGCTGGGAGGCAATCAAACAGTCTTGGGCCCCTGGCATTTATTTTGTCTCTTGTGGCACCCCTGCTTTTCATTGGGGGGATGTTGCACCACCTGCCGAATCTCTTGCTTTCATAGGGAGTGATTTCTGTGTGCAGATTTGGGACTAGTCCCTCTCGGATTTTCTAAGTGTATATTTTCATGTATCTTTCTCATATGTATTCCAAGGAGTATAGGTCAAGGGACTTCAACCATTCCCAGTAATTTAGGTGCTTTATTGCACTTATACGTGCAGTGAAATTTCTCTACATATTATCTACATCTGTAATTTCGTCTGCCTTGAAAGGGGCCATTTGTGTACAGCAGCATTCCAACTTCAGCCTTGATACGATGTGTTCAGTCCCTCAGCCTTGAGGGACTGCTGTATTATTTGCCAAACAGAAGAGGTGGTTTTGAAAGTAATTGTTGTTCGTGCTTATTGAATATTGCAGTAGCAAGTATTTGAATTACGTATAAATCCGTTTATTTTATTAGCTACCTGAGATTTGCCTTTTTTCTATTTTCAGGTACCAGACGTGCTCATATCAGAGCAAGAACAGTGACTGTAGATACAACTGAAGAGTATCTGAAGAAAAAGGGACTAGTGAAGACTTTCTCATTCAAAGGAAAGTCAGGAAGAATGGTACGTAAAAGAAGACTTTTGAAACGTCATATGCAAAAGACAGGCAAAAGTGAAAATGTAGAAAGTGATGATGATGATGATGATGATGTCGCTAAGCAACCAGTTAATCGTGTCTATAAAGATATTGGAACAGTGCTGGATAAGAATGTACGTCAGTTCATGAGCCCACCCTCAGCTTGCACTCTTAGTATGCCATTGAAACCGACAGAGAAGACTGATGAAGCTATTTGCAATAAGGAAGACCAAGAAGATGGTATTGGTAGTGATGATGATGTGAACAATGAAGTTGCAGATGATGAACCTTTAGAACAAGACGATATACAAACACCACCAAAGATTAAAAATGTCATTTCTTCTAATGCTGACCAGGAACATGATGAGGATCTTGTTTCTCTTCCTGAAGTACATCTGCCTCCCAAACGGAAGCGAGGACGGCCAAGAAAAAATGCTCTTCAAAAAGCTTTAGAAAATTCAAAAAGAAAAATTTCATATAAGCCAGTATCATCGTTATGTTTTGGGAGAGGAAAAACCAGGCCATTAAGGGAATTGCTGAACGATGAGCTGTACAATGGTAATTCTTCAATTGGCATTCAAGGAAACCCAACAATCATTGATTTGCCATCTGATCAGATTAATATTAGTTTGCCAGGGAAATATGCTAATGATAATGATGAAAATCTTACAGGCAACACCTTAAGAGAAACATGTACAATGACTGATTTTGATTCTGAAAAGGATACTATGCAAAGTAATGATTCTCTAAATCATGACAACAGTTTTTTAACTTTAAATGTGCAATTTAATAATGTACAAACTGATATCAAGAGATGGATGAAATTCAGAATAATGAAAAGTGTTTGGAAATCTATTCAAAATGATGATAAAAAAACCAAAGCTCTGAAGAACAAATTGCTCAAGCTTTTATCACCTGGTGAAACTGAGAGCGGTGAAATAGTTGTAGCCATTAATGTTTCTCCGTCTGTAATTGAAGATAATGGTCAATGCCTTCCCCGTGTTGATGTGAAACCGAATCATACATTTAACTCCTTTCATTGCCAGGATACAAAGAACTTGATTGAAGCAGAGGTAGTGACATCACCACCAAGAAGAAGAAGTAGGGGTATGAAGTCTCATAGAAGAGGCAAGGTAACAATGGTACCTATCAACATAGGTGGTGTTATCCGTTATTTACCTTCAACTCCCTATTTAACAGGAGATGCTGATGATTCAGAAGAGCAAGACAATGAGTCATTTCCAGTGGACGCTGTTGAGTGTACCATCTCTGAGGATACTCATATACTGGATAAATATCAATTAGCAGATTCTTTGGAAAGCTCAAACACTAGGGAAGAATCTCCAGATATAAAATTGGTGTCCCCACAACCTGAGGATGAAACCAGTGGTAACCATCAGGACTTTGTACAAACATCAGTAATTTTTGAAGATGCTTCTAGTTCAGGGACAGAGGCTGAGACTATTGCTGATATGTACAATAAAGAAAGTGATACAGAAAGTCAAGTAGATTCACATGAAGCATTGCCTAATGACTCTAAAGATACCTTGATTATTAATAAAAGAAGATTGGTTACAACAAAGAATGATAAGTGCAGTGTTGTTGCGAAAAATGTGAATAAGATGTATATTCCTCATGATGAAAACCTAATTCAGAGTGTGGATATGGATGTAAATAATTTTGATGGGTACATAGATTTGACAGGACTGCCATCAACCCACAATTCTGTCATGAGAGATAATCATATTATAGAAGCAGATTACCAAAGAGATGATTTTTCATATTCTCAGCCATCAGTAAGTACTTCAGTTGTTTTTAGTCATAATGGTCTTGCACAAGAGTCAACTGATCATGCCTTATGTAAAATGCAACCACATGTTGTGCCCAGTAGACCTGCAGCTCAGACAATTTCAGAAGGAATGCCTGCACCTTTAACTCTCCAGTGTAGAGAGATGAGTGTGTCTCACTCTGCAGAAGAGAATGCAAAGGTGACTGTTGATCATCCCCAGTCAGTAGTTTATTCATCTCCTACGTCAGTAGTAATGCCCTTGAATATCCCCTTGGCTGCGTCAAGCCCAGTTTCTCTAGCGAATCCCATTCAGAATGTTTTGGCTGAGGAAGGACATAGTTCTCATATTTTGGATTTCCATGGATTGCCACATAGCTCTCCACTACAAGTATGCCAGTCCCATAGTCACAGTGGATCTCAAACTTCTACTACTTCTGCTGTGACAGTCAGCTATTCTAATAGTCCTTTGAAAGTTATTTCATACCAGAGGGTGCCTGTTTATCCCATAGATAATCAACCATTCAGGGTCATTGAGGATCAACCGACTCACCAGCCTGAATTAGAAATTCCAACTAGGTATCAAGAGACTGTTTCAAATACACACATGGCCCTGGAAAGGTCTCCAGCTATGCAAAAAAGATCTATTATTAATTCTATGCCGTATCCACACAATCCCCAGCATGGTTCTGTAACTGGTGGAAAGGACTTTTTGCATACAGGAGATTGTAAATTGGTCAAGGTAAAAATGAATGGTAATTTTGTGTATGTTCCAGTAAATTCAGTACAAATGAATACCACCACAGTGTCCCCATGCAAACCACAATTCACTAGTGAATGTGAAAATTCAGAGGAGTTACAAGTGGAAATACTCGATGCATCTCTTAGCTTGACACACAATGACCAAGAAAGTGGCTTAGTTCTTCAGGGGCCAAGTGGTGGTTTTCCAGGCGAAGATAGTTTGGTTGATGATAAAAATACTGAAAAATTAAAAGGTACAATTTTGTCTTCACTAAACATACTATCCGATTGTGATTCAGTTTCTCTATCATCTTCAGTAACAGTACCTGATAGTAGCATTTATTATAACATCAAAACAGAAGATGTTAAAGTATTTGCCTCAGAGTCTGGGGCTGTCATTGATCAATCAGAAGCAAGTCCTCCCAGTTTCCTAAAACCCAAAAGGACACAAGTGTGCTCATTTCTTTTTTCACCTAAGTACAAAGCTTTGTCTGCACTGAAAGAGTCAGTTGGGCCAGCAACAGGTACGCCAGTTAAAGCACAAAAGCCCCGTGTACCATTCTTTTTAAAGCAATCATTGGTACCCAAAAAGAAATCATAAACTATTTTGCAGTGTAATATCTCGTCATTAAAAGAACTTTTATTTTGACATTTCTAAAATAAGATACCAAAATATTTTGAACTTTATAAAATAAGATTCCAGATTATTTTGACATTTCTAAAATAATGTACCAGAAGGCATTTCTGTTTGTCTAAAAACTACAAAATTAGAGAAGCATTTGTTTTATTTCGAGTTACGATAAATTATGTACATATTAATTTTTAGCATAGATGTCTAAAGTATTCACTGTACATTACACTAATTATATATTTTCTTAAAAAAAAAAGAAATTGAAATTGCCAGTAATGACAATTCTAATATTTTGCTCATTTCATAAGCAACCTGGGTCAACCCAGAGGTTAATTGGAGCTCAGTCCAAAGCCAGTATTATGTAACATTGTGTTGAATACACATAGTACATTTTAATTAGCAAAGAAGCTTTTTTATATCTAATACTTCGCTAATTTCATAATTTTTTTTTTCACATTTCCAGCAGTTTAGCATTGTATCTTTTTAATATACGACACCCATTTAATGCAGTATCATTTTATTACTAGTGAATTTTATTTAAAAATTATTGGAATTCATTTTCAATGTTGAGTTCATTACAAAATTAAGACAGATAAGATATTCTGAATTCTAATAATTTAAAGGTATGCAAAAAATTCACCCATATCATGACCCTGGTACAGTTGTCAAAATTGTTCTATTGCAAGCTCATTACATAGTGACAAAGAACATTTAACATGTTATCGACTATTGAGTATGACCAAGAATCATTAAATATCAGTTTTGTATGGAGAATCTTGATTATCCTTGACATATAAGCTTTAATATAAGTACTGGGTTCAACAAGATGTGCCATAATGATTATTATCTCTGCAAGTAAGTGGTGGGTTCAGTTGGTGAAATCAAATACTGTATCATATGCTTTTTTTCCCTCTTAAATAAGCTATTCCACATTTGATATTCAAATGGGATAAGAGTGCATTAAAGGGCATGTATACAATCTTTTGGTTCTGAGGCTGCACTAGACTTGCCATGGTTTATTTTTCTGTATATCTTCATTACCATTGAAAATGTTAGTACATTCAGTTCCTTACCTGCTGGACTTCATGCTGGGTGTGAGGACACAGACCAATAGTTTTAATTTTTCATGCATTCTTTTTTCTTCCATGACTTTTCCCTAAATCAGTATGTTGCATTGAAAGGGGAGGGGGGGGGGGATGCTAGTGCTGCTTCAGTATCTCAAAACGAAATCAATTTATTACTTGAATTGTGACACACCTTTTTTTCTCCTTTCGCAGCACTGTATGAGTGACTTGTAGGTTTAGTGCTTCATTTTGATTATAATAATAATAATAATAATAATAAATTTTCTCCTTTCTGCTGATGTGCTTTCTCCAACACTGCCTCTTCCTCTTTACCATTACAGTGGACCCCCGCTTAACGATCACCTCCCAATGCGACCAATTATGTAAGTGTTTTTATGTAAGTGCGTTTGTACGTGTATGTTTGGGGGTCTGAAATGGACTAATCTACTTCACAATATTCCTTATGGGAACAAATTCGGTCAGTACTGGCACCTGAACATACTTCTGGAATGAAAAAATATCGTTAACCGGGGGTCCACTGTATTATTATTATAATCAAAACTAAGTGCTAAACCCACAAGGGTTCCTCTCTACCATCTCTCTCAGTTTGCTGTGTAGTGCTGTATGACCCTTGCAGGTTTAGTGCTCTCTTGTGAATATTGTATAGTAATATCAGGTAACTGGAATAATGGATAAAATGGTCCCTGTTATTTTGTCTGCTGGTGAAGGCCATAATAATTGCTGCCACCAGCAAAGAAATTTTGATGGTTCTACTTTTAAGGATTTATTAACTGACACTGATTTGTTACACTGGCTGTGGCACTTATCCTCTAGTCTCTCTCACCCTTGTGGGTAGCTCTGAATGATCCACATGGGTTTAGTGCTTTTCTTCATGAACTATACTGTAATAATAATAATATATTTTAGGGACAGTCCTTGTTTCATTCTAAACTACAATTAAGACAACTGTTTTCTGGTACTCTCCCAACAGCTCCAAAACTGCTTGCAAGAAGGTTAGTCTTAAGTTGGAGCAGAACAAATTGTTTTCCATTAAACTCCAAGTGGATTCCTGCATTTTGTTGCCAGGCAAGCTTCAGTTCACTACATTTTAATGATGTTTTATTATCTGGAGATCCAAAATATTTCAATTTAGATATACCGATATACTCAACGAACTTAATCGAATGTGTTCCAACACTCATTCTCTGGACTTTTAAATAGGCTTATTGAGCAACTGCATTGGTGTTGGATTGTAAGGAAATGAGGATAGGAGGAGAAATACCAGAAATGCCATATAGCCTGTGTGATAAATGGTTTATAAAACGGAAAGTGAAGATTGAGACAATTATGCAACGTATGGGAATCTTTATAGAGGAACGATTTTTGGCGACAATGTTTCCTCAATAAAGGATTCCCATATGTTGCATAAGTGTCTCACTTCTTTGCCATATAGACATACCCACAGACTTCACCTAAATTGGTATAACAGCATGATGATGCCTGCACTTTAAGGCAGGGGTTTTGGGGATATTGGCAGTTTGGAGGGATGTGTTGGGTATCTTATTACAGTATATGCTTCTAATCTGTGTTTCTGTAGCACCTATCAAAAACAGTGATTAATGTGTGGAGTGTGGTGAAAAGTGTTGAATGATGTAAGTATTTTCTTTTTGGGGATGTTCTTTCTTGTTTTGGGTACCCTGCCTCGGTGGGAGAAGGCACGACCTTGTTGGATAAAAATAAAAATATATATATATATATAATCTACACACAACAAATGGGGCATGAGCTTTGAATTGGCCCCTGTAACCACATTTAGGTTGTTGTGTGTACACAGTAGCAAAAAAGGTGGGGGCTGGAGTGGTGTATTGGAACCTCTGCAACCCCATATAGGCGAGTACACAGAGACAAAGATTAACGATAAAAATATTTTAATGTTTTTATTTAGCTTCAGGGTAGTACTCCTTTGGGATCAACTGCTTTCTAGAAAAGGTAGTGGCAGTAAACTTCAAAATCCTTAAGTTTACCCTGTAAAAGAGATATCACTGGTGAAGGGCTCTTGATCCAAGGAATTGGAGCTGTCTCCCCTGGATCAAATCTGATAACCTCTTATTTTTCAGCTGCTGTATCACTCTTACAGGTTTATAGTTTTTGCTTTATTGTAATGTGCCCATCACTTGCAGAGCAGGTGTAAATATGCCATAGTCCATATAGGGTTAGTCAGGCCACTTGCTGAGGCACAGGTCAGTGGTTCAACACCTTCAAACAACAGTAAGCTTTTGGCCAACATAAGTTCAAGCTCTGTATTTAGTGAGTTTAATTTTTTATTATACACCACCATAACCATTTCCTGTGGTGGTACGGTGTTAAAAAGATTGAGGAAAAATATTTGGTCGAGGGACTGTACCTCTACCATTTCGGAGGCACACATCTGGGTCCAGGGGACTGTACCTCAACATTACGGAGGCACACATTGGTTTGGACTGTTACCTCAACATCTACGGAGCAGCGCACCATTGGTCCAGGGACTGTTACTCAACATTACGGAGGCAACATTGGGTCAGCGACTGTACCTCAACATTACAGAGGCACTCATTGGGGCTAGGGATATAGTACCTGAAATTTTACAGAGGCACTCTTTGGGCTCCAGGGATGTACTCAACCATTACAGAGGCACACATTGGGTCCAGGGACTGTATCTCAACATTACAGAGGCACATACATTGGGTCTAGGGACAGTACACTCACTGCACATTTCCCCCCCCCCCCCCCAGCCCCCCCCTATATATATCAATGCACACATTGGGTCTAGGGACTGTACCTCATCATATCGGGGACACACATTGGTCCAGGGACAGTTCATCAACGTGACGGAGGGCACACATTGGGTCTAGGGGTCCAGTACCGCAACCATTACGGAGACACACATTGGCGTTCCGGGGACAGTACCTCAACATTACGGGGCAAATTGGGTCTAGCGGACTGAAACTCACTTTACAGAGGCACACCTGTGGTCTAGGGGTCCAGTACCTAACTTTATGGGCACACATTGGGTCCAGAGGACAGTACCTAACATTAAGCGGGCACACATTGGGTCGAGGTGACTGTACCTCCCACATTACTGGAGGCACACATTGGGTCCACAGGGACTGTCACTCTACTTGACCAGAGGCACACGTTGGGTCCAGGGACGGTCTCAACATTACAGAGGCACACATTGGGTCAAGAACAACCTCAACATGACGGAGGCACACTTTGGGTCCTGGGATCTGTCCTCAACATTTCGGAGGCACACATTGGTCTAGGGACTGTACATCAAACATTTCGGAGGCACACATTGGTGCCAGGGACTGTACCTCAACTTTACGGAGGCAACACATTGGGGACCAGCGTCTGTACCTAACATTACAGAGAGCACAATGGGTCTAGGGACCGTACCTGAACTTATGAGGCACACATTGGGTCCAGGGATGTACCTCAACATTACTGAGGCACACATTGGGTCCAGGGACTGTATCTCAACATTTAAGAGGCCAAAGTGGACCGTATAGGGGACCAGTACCTCTACAGTCACGGAGGCACCATTTGGGGTCTTGGGACTGTTACCTCAACTTTACGGACACACACATTGGGTCCAGGGACCAGTACCTCCAAATCGTTACGGAGGCGGCACACATTGGGGTCTAGGGACAGTACCTCATCAGTCGGAGACAACACTTTGGGTCCAGGGACAGTACCTCAAATTGGTCGGCACCACATTGGGCTAGGGAACAGTCTCCTCCTACATTACAGAGGCACAAATGGGTCTTGGGACAGTACCTCAAAATTATAGGAGGCACACATTGGGTCCTGCGGACTGTACCTCAATCATCTACGGTGGACACATTGGTTCGAGGGACTGTACCTCACCACATTATGTGGCACCAATTGGGTCCAGGGGACATGTACCTCAACATTAAGAGGCACACATTGGGTCCAGGGACTGTACCCAACATTCTAGAGGGGCACTCATTGGGTCAAGAAAACATCATCAATTCACATACGGAGGGACACAAATTGGGTCCAGGGATCTGCTACTCACATTACGGAAGGCAACTTTGGGTCAGGGGACTGTACCTAAACCTTTTCGTGGAGACACACATTGGGGTCCCAGGGACTGTACCTCAACATTACGGAAAACAAACATTGGGGTCCCCAGGGACCTGTACATTCAACTTTACGGAAACACACATTGGGTCCAGGGACTGTACCTCAACATTACGGAGACAAAATTCATTCTGGAGTCAGGGACTGTACCTCAAAACATTACGGACGGCTCACATTGGGTCCAGGGACTGTACCTCAACATTACGGTGGCACACATTGGTGTATAGGGACTGTACACTCAACATTACCGGTGGGCCTGACATTGGGTCAAGGGACTGTTACCTCAATCATTAGGGAGGCACACATTGGGTATAGGGACTGTTACCTAACCATTACGGACACACATTGGTCAGGCGACTGTCCTCAACATTACCGAGGCACAATTGGGTCTAGGGGATGTACCTTCACATAACGGAGGCACCACCATTGGGTCAAGGGACCTGTACCTCAACCTATTACGGTGGCACAATTGGGTCTAGTGGAACTGTACTCTACATTAGGAAAGGCAACATTGGGTCCAGGGACTTTACCTCAACTTTACGGAGGCAACTTGGGTCTAG